TGATCAAGTCCGCGCACAAAATCAAGGGATATCAAAACAATTTAAGTATTTAACAAGGACAGAATACAAAGATGAATAATAAAGAATAAATAAACCGCTGAAGAACACTAATAAATAAATATTACTTAATGATTCTCCAACAATTACAATTCGGAAATCCCATAACTCAAGGACCACTTAAAACATTATCCAATAATCCAATACTATTTAAAAGTACACAAGATGAATAGACGAATGACAGTCTCCCAGCTGCGGATCCTCAATCTCGAGACTGGAACCTCTAATAACCTGAAAAATAAATCGTGGGTTAAACCCTACGAGCAAGTTCACTCTACCAGGCCTCTGAAAACCAATAAGCAGATCATCTCTGATCAAAACCAAACCTAATAAAGTTTTAACTTTAATAAAGCACGATGTACATGTCTATATATAATTATATATACTATACTAATCACATCCATTAATAGGTTTATTAAATTTCCATACCTATTAAATAATTATTAAAATAATATTCATACCTAGACCAATCTACCATTTCATTTTATAAAAACTCCTTTGACCTTAATCCCATCCTAGTCAGTTGTCTAATCATTTAAACAACAAATTATAATAAAAGAAATACTCTATTTAATCCTAACCCGATAATGATTTTAATTGTTTAAATCACATATCCAAAATCCAAGTTTTGACAAATCATCCACGTTTTCCCCAATATTATTTTATTAATGTAAAATAATACACTAACCAGTAAGTACTAAACTATTCTCATTTAAGAATATCTAACCCTAATCCAATCCATACATACAACAACCATAGATGATATTTTAATCATCTAACACATAACAACGTAATTATGCTTTGGCAAATCAACCATGCCATTGTAAATATTTTTATTTAAATATTGGCAATTCAACCATGCCTCCATAAGTATATTTATTTATACATTGGCAATTCAACCATGCCTCCGTGTAGGTATATTTATACATTGGCAATTCAACCATGCCTCCACAGGTATATTTATTCATACATTTAATTAGCAATTCATCCATACTTTCTATATATGTATTCTATTCATACAAGTATTTAGATAATATATTTAATCATTTGACAATTCATCCATGCCCACGCTTTAACCATGAATTAACTTTAAAATTAACAATACGCTAAATCATACATAGCCATCACATGCATATTATACGCATATCATTAATTTAACAACCAGCCTATTAAGATATGCCAAATAAGAATGATAATATTAATCATCTTAAATGATTTATATATATATATACCTACACATATGTTATTTAATGTATATATGTGTTTAACACCTTCTTTAATAATCCTTGATTATTTAAAATCAATATACATACATACATACATATATATATATATATATATATATTCATCCTTCCATACAACTCATAGACAAATTAAACTATATATACACATATATAAATAATTATATATATATATATATATATATACACTTCCTTCCATAACAAATTATTAATTTATTATATTTACACAAATTAGTACAACTACATATGTCAGAAATAGTTTCCTTTAAATACTCCATATTGGTTTAAATAGTTTTCCGACACTTTCTCACTACAACATAAATATCTCTTAGTAGGATGGGAATCTGATAATGAAATTGGTACCATTGGAAAGAAGACGAAAAATTCTTGAATTTGAGCTCAAGAATGACCCAATTTCGATTTAAAATGACTAAGTTATGACCGTTTTAATTTCTAGTGTCGAATTAGGCCAACATAGTTTCCCACGCGCGCCCACGTGCTTACTATGCACTTGCACGCGCTGGATTCAAGCCTCCTTGTGTGCTGGTATTGGCTGAGCTCATGCGCTACGATGAGCTCGCCCACACTTAATCAATCCGCTTCCATCATAACAATTTGATTGCCCAGATCATTGTATACACCATCCTTCCATGTACCGTACTACACTAAATCCCTCCTTGATCATCAATACCATCCAACCATCAGTAATCTATGCGCACCAATGTGATGTGTACTGTACCGCACCGAATAACAGCCCTTTCTTGAATGCGCCGAATTAATATAACCCCCAGTGCGTATAACAGTATAAATTTATACCAAAATAAATATTTTAAAAAAAAATTACTAAAAATATAGAACAAATCCAAATAATTTCTAAAAAAATCCTAGAAAAATTTCAGAAAAAACCTAATGAACCCTTTTTGGGTCAAAGATCAACCTACAACATGATTTTAAAATTTATATACAACATTTATATATACAATTAAAGTCCAACAATTTCAAAATAAAAATTTATAATAATTCATACTTTTAAATAATCATATCTAAACATGATTTAATAAAATAAATTAATTTAATACTTTTAAATAATTCGTTCTAACTGTGATTTAAATTAATAATATAATTAAACCTTGATACTCAAGGTGAAATCCTTATGGGTTCTAATAGGAAAGATAGAGAAGAACTCGCCTGAAGGTTTCGAAACGAAACCGACGTTTTAAGCTTTAATTATCTCTTCCAATTCCGACGTCCTCCTTTTCAGATCCGACCTCCTCCTTGTCAGCCCTTCTTCTTCCTCTCTCTCTGTCTGTTTTATTTTTCTAACGTGTAAAACCTTTAACCCTAAAGCCTTATGTGTATTTTTATACACCTTAAATTCCAAATCCTATTCCAACTAGTATTATGAATTAAAATAATAACCTTTAAATAATTTATATCTATAAACATATATATATATATATATATATATATATATAAATATATATTCCTTCCATAATTAACTCATTAGTTAATTAAATCATATATACTTATAAATATCAATAAATATATATCTATATATATATCTTTCCATAACAATTATTAATTAATTATATTTATATATAATTATATATATATATATATATATATATAAATATAATTGATACAAAAGTGATCATTTAAATAATTAAATAACCACGGACCTTCATTAATTAACCCAATAAGGTTTCATACAAGCCCAAGACCACATCTTTTGGTCCAACTTTCCTTAAGCCCAATCCAATTAATTTAAATAAATAAGATAATTAATTAAATACAGAAATTAAAATAACTAATTACATGAAGCACATAAACAAACAAGAATTTACAACTAAGTCATATAATACCAATAAAATCAACACACCAATAATTCAATCAATAATCAACCACACAAACAATCAATCATCATATATAATCACGAAATATAACTTAATTAAAATAAGATAATTAATCTAGCACTCAATAAAATAAAATAAATCATTGAAAAATAAAATAAAATAATTAATCCTAATTAATAAATCTTTTAAAATTATCGAGGTATTACAATAACACACACCATGATCAATAAAATATAAAAGGAAATAATGTCATCTAAGGATTCATGCCAAATTGGAATTGTTTCTCTACTGCTTAAAAATGCTTTTATTTTTAAAAAATGTGTTTAGACATGTTTGATAACCATTACAAGTGTTTTTAATGGTTACCAAATTTAGTTCAGTAGAGCATTTTAATGAAATTAGTTGAATATTTTAGTTAACTCTTTTTTATTAGACAATATTATCTTTTTTATTTTTTATAAAGATAATTACACTCCTTCTTTAATAAAATTGTTATTATCAAATACGATAACATCATATTAAATGATATTATTGTAAAATTAGGAATAAAACATTATATTAAATGATAGTAATGTAAAATTTGCAATAAAAGTGTTTTAAAAAAATTGTTACCAAATAAATTTAAAAATAATTTAATTGTAAATAAATTTAAAAATAATTTTTTAATAGCTCTATTGATAAAAACGTTTTTATTATTCCAACAGTAACTTAAACGGACTCGAAATGAACCCACTTGATTTCCATTCCTTTTGTTTTAGAATTTTTTTTTTTAATTGTCAATCAAATATGATTTGTCGCAACAAGATTTTGCCGCTTATGTGGTGAGAATAGTGTAAGTTCGAGCAACTAGTATTATCCCTTCTAATTTGTCGCAGGGACCGGCACTTTGGTTAGTATTAGACAATATTTATGTCTTCACCTCGGATGCAGATTAATAACAAATGGACTTATTAACTTTAATTATAAAATTAAAAAGTCAAAAAATAATACTGGTAAGTATGTATCTCACCATTTTTGATTTAGTAATTAAAAATACATTCTATTATATCACTTTGGTAATTAAAGAAAATATATCTATTTATTATTAGTTCATATTAACAAATCTTCACTAATAAAAATCTAAATATTGTAGATCGTATAATTATATTTGGCTCACTCATACCATAAATGTTAACATTCTTACCTCTTGTGAAATTCTTTATTTTTTATTTTTAAAATATAATGCTCAAAATAAAATAGTTTGCTAAAACCATTCTCCAATTCAATTATATAAATTAGATCATCAAATATTTCTCATCTTTTTTATATTAGTGATAAAATGATTATTTTGGACAATAAGAAGTTATGCTATATTGTCATTTGTTAATCGAATTATATAAAATCCAACAAATTTTATGTTGGGTTTGATACCTAATCAAAACTTTAAATTTAAAATTGTAAAAATAAATTTAGTATAAAGTTAAAGTTTCTCCAATTTTAAATCTAAAGTGCCGATTCAATGCTTCCAAAAATATTATGTTATTTCTTTTTCTCAAGACTAGACCAAACAAATATTATTTTATTCATATAAACTAGTTCTTTTTTTTAATTTTTTATTTTCAGCCTATCAAAAAAAGAAAAAGAAAAAGAAAAAATAGGGTATTATTCTTGTGTAACATATAAGGACACTAAAAATTTATAACACCAATAAAAAAAAAAAATAATAATAATAATAAAAAATTATAACATCATCAAGCGATGACGTAATACTTGTTCTTGAAACAGTGGTGCAATCTAGATTGTTCTGGAACCGTATGGGTTACGGTGCGTGTATTTTGGTCCAACCCATAAGATCTCAGGTTAAGGTCCGAAGATTTACTCCGTATTTCTTATGTTCCAAGCTATACAATACAACATACGCCCGATTGAGCCTTTCTGCTTTTAGACGGTCGGACATATTCCACACCTCGTCTTCGTCTTCGCTCTCCGATTTAAGCCTTCCTCATTTAAACAGGTTCATCTTCATCAACTCTCTTTCTCCATATATTTATATACACACATGTATATATATAGGTCGTTCCATATATTTTCTGGATCCTGCAAACCCTAAGATAATTTTTAATATCTCTGAGTTCAGCCGATTGGAAGCATTTTAGCCTAAGTATTTCCGCCATTGCTTTTTAATCTAGATGATTTTGTTCAGTGATCTTCTCTCGTCTAATTCGTTATTGCCTTTTATTTAAAATCCCTGCTCGATTCTTTGACGAATTATCTAATTTCCCATTATTTTACTAGTCCTTTTCAATTTTGTTATCTATATATATATGCGTGTGAATATTCATTGCATTGACTTGAAGCAATGTTAATAGAAGCCCAAATGGTCCTGATATCAATTTCACTTGGTAACAGTATCAGCTTGTTGTAAAATATTTTCGCAAACCCTAGGTCTTAGGCATATGCTTCATACTTGTTGTGCACTGATCATGTATATTTGCTTGAAAGGTCTATACAAATTGTGCTTTTGTGTTGTGTGTCTTGAGAATCTATTTATCTGTTATTATACTCTTGTGAGATTCATAATTAGGTTTTCAATAAAGCATTGTATTTTTCTTAATAGCTTATGGGTTTTATAGCCCAGGTTGCAAAAATATGACAAAGACTAGTTCTTTGGATTCTAATTATTATGCCTCTCTACTTATATATATATATATATGACCATTTGTGACCATTTATGTTGGTTGCAGTTCAGTTATTCTTTTTCGAAAGGCTTGTTAAGTGACCTATCTTTATGAAGAAAACTATCTCTCGAGTATTTGCAATTTATAACATTTTTCTTATTTGAAGAATGGCCACATTGAGCAAACTAATGCCAGAAGCTAGGTCCGCCTACAGTCTACCCATAACACACCGCCTAGGCTGAACACATGTTGCTGAGTAAGTAATTACTTCAATGGGGTAGACTGCATATTTGCATACTTCATCCACCCTGCTCAACCACTATACCCGCTACACCCACCGAGAGAGAGAGAGAGAGAGAGAGAGAGAGAGAGAGAGAGAGAGAGAGAGAGAGGGATAGGCCCTTTTTAAAGTTTGTTCTAATATCTTGGTTTACTATAGGACACTGTTGATCATGGTGTAGTGAGGTTAGATTTCCTTCAATTTTGTGGGTGAAACTATGTGTCCTTTTCATTTTCCCGCTCTTGTGTAGTGTGAAAGTTACTAAATAGTCATGAATACGTAATTGGCTTAAGTCATATGGAGCAAGAGTGGAAGTTGGAGTGTGCCGCAAAATAAATGGGCCAAAAAATTGTCCATGTCTTAATATACACACATAGTTTGTAGTAATTTTAAATAATATAATAATAGTTTGAAAAATGTAATCGTATCATTACTTTTTTTTTTTTTTTTTTGTTGAATGTGAATTATCTAGTGGTTTAATCAATATTTTCTTCATGAGAGAGAGAGAGTGGTCAATTATGGCTGCCGCCTATCTTACATGGTATTAGCTTCACGACATGGGCATGGATGCATGTATCGGACGTGTGGATGTGCTGATACTCTATATGTAACGGTGGTATATTTGATATAAGTTGTGCACGTTCTTCAGTCCATGCAGCAGAGTTATCACAAACTTGTTGGGATCGTTTTGTACATTCTTGTCAGTTCGTGTTTGTTGGGATCGTTTTGTACATTCTTGTCAGTTCGTGTTTGGATTGCTAAAGTGCCACCCCTCCCATACAAATTGAGATTTGGCTATTGGCTTGATTGTTATATTTAATTTTTCTTTTTTTATATATTTCCTTCCATTACCCTACCCTTTGTTTGTTTGGTTTGGATAAATGTTTGTTTCGATTGAAAAGACGGATCATCATCATCATCATTGCCTTAGTCCCACATGAGTGGCGTTGGCTACATGAATTCTCTCTTGCCAATCTTTTCTATTAGATACCATTTCCCTTACTATGTTTAATTTTGTAAAATCATTTTTAATAACCTCACCCCATGTTATTTTTGGTTGCCCTTTTCGTCTCTTACATTCTATAACAACTAGGTTGAGTCTGTTCAAGCTTACAATTAGGTCACTGTGCTAAGTGGTAAGACTTGGAACATAGTCACTCACAGCCCAGTTGCAAATGACGAGCCTGAGTTCAGGCTCGACTCGTTCGTTTGTGGCCTCAGCTTGGGCTTGGCTCGGAATCGTGACGAGCTCGAAAAGCTGAGCTTTGGCTCGGCTCGTTTAATAACAAAGTTCGGGTTCGAGTTGAGCTTGTGTTCAATGTCCTTTTGGCTTGTGCATGAACTTATACGAGCCTACAGAAGCCTATTGTTATGAACATGTTCACAAGCTTATGTTCACGAACCTATACAAGCCTATGTTTATGAACATGATCCCAAACATATACGAGCCTACACAAGCTGAGCCCAATAACGTTTAGGATCGGCTTGTTTTCTAACGAGCCTAAAAGTCAAGCTTGAGCTCGGTTCGTTTGCTTAATGAATGAGCCCTAGCCAAGCCTTAAACGAGCCGATCCTGAGTTGTTCATTAACAGCTCAGCTCATTGTAGCTCCTTTCCATTGATAGGAAAAAGTCCTTATTTTTGTTCCTGTTAATATGCCTCATTACTCAATGACATAATGGGTTGTTGAATGGAAGATCTACTACTTCTCACAAGTTCTTATTGCTACTTCATGACACCATAAAAATTGATTCATATGATGTGGCAGGAGTTGATTTGCCGAGCATATTTAGTTGTTAATGGCCTGACTAGCTGGCAGGAGTCTTTCCCCATCTTCTTTTAAATTTATATTTCCTTGGCTCATGCACAATTTTTTTCAGTGCTGATTGATTGCTTTATCTTCTTTTAGTTATTGGTTGCCTTTCAAATTACATGGCGGATAAGCATTCTGTTGAAGGTTCCGGTACAAGTGTTGTTTGTGGTGAGAGTTCAGAATCAACCGTGGAGCTCAATATCAAGACTCTAGATTCACAGATCTACACCTTTAATGTGGATAAAAATGTAATTTACTCGACTTTATCATTAATGTTTGTGTTTTAAGTTAAGTTGGTGCTTTACTACTTGTGCGTATGTAAGGTTTAAGTTTAGCTGATTGTTTCCCATTATAGGTTTAATTCACGCACTGTTTAAATTGCAATCGAGTTGTTCAAGTTGCTAAATATCTAAAGTGTTTCTAAATTACTGAAATGCATCATGCAAGTTTGAACATTTTTTACTCTCATTATTATATGGGTCAGCTTTTCAATAAAATTTTGCTCGTCTGGCTACTGCATATTGACTTTCATGTATTCTTGATCTTGATAATTTTTCAGATGCTAGTTTCACAGTTCAAAGAGAAAATAGCAAGTGAAATTGGTCTTCCAGTTGGGCAGCAACGCCTAATTTTTAGAGGGAAGGTCTTGAAGGATGAGCACCCGCTTTCTGAATATCGTATCCTACTATTTCAGACATCTATGATGCTTTTTTCACTTATGTAGAAACTAGTGTACCTCAGAACTTGCTATTGACAAAAGATTGTCTTTATCTATGGCACTCTTCCTCCATTTTCAGTTTTCCAGTCATAAAATTTCCCATATTCCATATGAAAAAAATGGTGCATGTGGCAGTAATATAAACCGATTGTTTCTTAAATACATCTATTAGTTTCAAGAAGATTTTTCTTGGGTTCATGTTTCACCTTGCTGAATAAAAGGTTAAATGATTGACCATGTTGCTTTATAAGTTAATACTAACTTTTTAGATATCATTCACACTCATATGTTGTGATTATAAATTACATTACAGTTTCTTTCTTTAATTCTCCTTTATCCCAATGGGATTTTATTTTATTCGGAAAGTAATGGGATTTTATTTTATATATCTGGGAAAGGGAATGGATTGCATGATTACTGATTTGAAGAGCAGCAGTTTTTTTTTAGTTTTGGGGGTTTTGAGTTGTATAGAGTGTATTTAACACACAGTATTTTGGGAGTCTTGAGTTGTATAGAGGTGTTATGTTTGACACATCCTTGGAAATTTAATCTCACTTCACTGAGGCTAGTTTGTTACTTAATTTTTCTTTTTATTTTTCTTCTTTTGTGAAGGTAGCTGCTTATAAGTGAACTGTGCTTTTTTTGCTAATTCTGTATTTTCATTTCATGATCATTTCTTCTGTTTCAATTGTACATCAGGATTGTCCTACCTATAATTGAATCTTGTTGGCAGGCCAATTAATTGATATGGATGCTATGGTCTACTACATTTCCTCTGAGTGTGTAGTTATTTTTATAGAAATCCTTGACTGTGAGTAGATGTGGAAAGTGGCCATACGTTGCATTTGGTTGCCAGACAGCCTTCTCAATCACAGCTCTCATCAGGTACTACAAGTTCTGAAGAGACAAATGCAAATAATAACAGAGGTACTAATCGTTGCCCAAGTTGTTTGTTAACCTTAAGCTTTAATAGAATGGCAGCTATCAGTTGAAGATGGTTTTCTGTGAAACTTTGCAGGACAAGATGCTAGTACTGGTGCCCCCCGTAATCGTATTGGGCAAATTACACACAGTGTGGTACTTGGAACCCTTAATGTTGGGGACCAAGGTGAAGGCGGGCCAGATTTAAGTAGGGTGTGTCTCTGCTATGGGCTCTTTTTGTATTATACATTTATATATAAAATAATGGAGTTATGTCCATTCATTGCTGGAAGATTATCATGCATGCTTTGTCACTTGGCTTTAGGTAATTGGGGCGGTTTTGAATTCTTTTGGAATTGGGAGCCAGGCTACACCTAATGGTACAGGCACTTCACAACCTAACGTCCAGGTTCGATGTTCTTTAATATCCCTTTATTATTATTATTATTATTATTATTTTTATTATTATATTTTTTTTTTGGTCCAATTCACGACCTAACATGCGGGTTCGATGTTCTTTAATCTCCCTTTATTTTAGTCCCCTTTGCTTTGTAGCCATCTTTATTGGCACACTCATGCATACATACATCTGTTTATAATTTACCTTTACATATAAATTGCACTTCATGTCTTACTAAAATGCAAGGGTTTAAAATTCCCACTTAAATGCTGATTGACTGGGTGAATCATTATCCTAATTTTTAGCATCAGCTGCATGGATACCTTTTTCCATTTAACTCTATTGGGATCATATGCTATGTGGAACAATTGCATGTCTCCCCCTTGCCACAACTTGAGTCAATCAATTTTATTAGGTGTTCTCAATGAGTCGTCTATTTTCCTCTATGTGGAATCATATGCTATTGCATCCAATTTTATCAGTCTCGACTTAAAATTGTTGTCTTATATATAATTTTCACTTCAGTCGATAGTTGTGTTCGAATTTAGTTCCAGAGGCAACATTATAGCATTCTTTGTCTTGTGCCTTGTGAAATTTTAACTTGGACAACAACTCTGGTGCTGTCAAATAAATCTTTGGCCTGCTATTTATTTATAAAATTAGTCTTAAAAAGAGTAATGGTTAATATGTCTCTCTCTAGCTTATTTTAAATGTATTAATTTTAAACCATATGTCCACATTTTTAAAACCTGACATGTGCTTTAACATGTTGTCGAATTCACATCTGCTTTAAATGATGCAAATTCTATGGAAAATCGGGTTATTGTGAATCAGTGTGTACCCACTTTTTTGATATGTGATATTTAGGTTACATGATATGAGTAAGGAATGTGCACTAACAAGGGTGTAGATGGAGCATGTAACCCTTATTAAAGTGGTGTAAGCGAGATGGACCCTGCTTTTGCATTCCATGATTGCTTTATATACGTCTTTTGGCACATCAGCTAGTGGGCTGTTCTATTTACAGTCCAATGCTCATGTCCAGGCTCCTCAAGGAAATGGAACAGAAGGGACAAGAAATAATGATGGGATTCAAAACCAAGCAGGAAGTCGGGCACAGTCTGGGCAGGCATTTCCCAATCAATCTCTACCCCAAAATTTTCAAATGCCACAGGGAGCAGCAATACCTGTTCCTTCACTTAATGCGGTAGAATATATCAAACTTCTCTTATTTAATTCTTGCTTGTTTCTGATATTTTTTCTATATAATTGTTTCTGCCTATTTTCAGCCAATTCCTGATTCTTTGGACACACTTTCTGAGTTCATGAGCCGCATGGAGTTGGCTTTGTCACAGAACGGTGATGATTCAAAAATTATATAACGTCACTATTTTGTTCTTGTAAATAACTTTGCAGAATAGAATACATGTATCTATTTTGCCTTTGTGCAGGATATCAGCCAAATCAATCGCCACCCAGTAGAGGTGATCTACCAAGAGTGCAATTGCCTTCCAACTCACGTGGATTTTCAACACCTGAATCATTGAGCACTGTTCTGCGTCATGCACAACGTCTTCTTAGTGATCGCGCCGTCACTGCACTCTCTGTACGCCTATTCTCATTAAAAATTATTATTACCAGTACTGCTCTTTCTGTGTGTGCGTTGTGTGTTCACAATATCAATTTGCTGGGGGTTCTCATTGGTATCCGACATTAGAGCCATCTGTCCTTGAAGCATTTGCTTAAGCATGCATATTCTTGTATGGTGTATTTGTTCTTCTTTTTTTTTCTAGTCTTATCATGGATCACTTTTTCCTTCTGATATTGTTATTGTGAAGAGAGGCAACGACCCACTTACTACCAATGCATGATGCTGGGCTGTAGACTTTTGACGGATCCAAAGTTTGGTTTGTACAAATTTAGTGCCTTCAACTCATATATGTTCTCATTCTCTTCTTCGTCTTCTTCTTCTTCTGTTTTGCTGGACGATGGTGATATTCTCACTTTAAGACAGTAAATGATGGAGATTTAGGGGGAGAAAATGATGGAGCTTCTATAGCAAAAGTTACAGATTTACTGTTGCATCTAGCATTGGCCTTTTGTTGTATTGGAAGGAACTTTATGTGATTTATGGACACATGTATGGGAAAGTTTCTGTGCATCTATTTTACAGAAAAGAACTTCTGGATATGTTGCTTGTATATAGTTTACAAACTTTGCAAAATTAGCGATAGAATGCTTGGAGCTTTCATGAAGTATAAATTTGGTGATAAAGTTTTTCGTGAGATATTTATTTGCAGAAACCAATATTTTTTAGACTTCAGAATTTTAGAATATATTGTAGATTTTCTAAGCTCGCAAGACAGTTCTTCAAAACAAGAAGCCCTTATCATCAGATCTGAATCAGCAAACTAGTGGCCTACTGGTCAATCGGGCTGGATTGCACCTTAAAATGGGATCCTTTATTATATTATATATAAACAATATGCTTTGGATTTGGGAGTATATTAAGTGAACCTCAATCTTATAGATACCATCTATAATCTCTAGTGGTGCGCTTGCATTAGAACTTAAGTAAGTTTTTGAATTTTTTAATATTTAAGTCTTCACAAATTGTGACAGAGGAGCCAACCCAAGAATAAATCAGCTGACTCCTTATCTAGGCTCTAAATGGCTGGTCGAGTATTTGACAGGGTCATTTCACTTGTTTTGAAGGCCAGTCTAATAGAAGGATATATTAAGAGAGTTCTATATATGTAGATTTGAATTATTTAATATGCTTGCTTATTGCATGCCAAAGCAAACATGTTGGACTTGGACACAATATTGCAGTATTTCCAGTTGCCATGTGGTCACTTGGAAGTCCATTTAACATAGCTCTGTAGAGATTTATCAGTTCGTGGATACTTATCAACTAGTTTTTATATTGATTAGGAAACTTATTCTACTTCGATCTTTTTCTTTCTAAATGCTACTTTTCTTTTTTTCCTCCCCCCCCCCCCCCCACACCCCTCTTTCTTTTTGTGGTCTTCTTAATTGGGATACTCTGTAATCAAAGCTTGGTGCAAGAAAAGGAAAAAGAGAAACTGAAATGTAGTTAATCGAAATGGGGCACAAGCCTAAGATTTGATGGTCATTTCATTTGATACAAGATTTGAATGACGTGTCTTTAAGTATATATGGTTACCACTAATTGCCCCAAATGATAAAAAATATCTTGTGGGTATGCAACTTTGGTTCCTGTTTCGTGGTTTTAACGAAGTCATGTGTGCTAAGAATCAATTAGCTAGCAGATTGGTGACAGAGGCACATAAAAAAAACCAATTGGCCACCCTTGATTTGGTTTTCTTGTTGAGGTGTTTGTGTAATTTATCTCCTCTCGATCTCTTGATTTGGTTTGTTTTGTAACAAATAGTGAAATAGAACCTTGGGTGATGTGTGCTTTATTGTCATGGACTAGCAGTCCTACATCAGATATGCGCTAGAATGATCCTGGGCATACAAGTGAGTGCTGTCCCTACTCCTTTCATGATGTAGTACATGTGAACAGGGCATGAACAGCGGCGTGAAAAGTGTTTTCTAGTTTGTAATTTTTTTTTTAAGGAAAATTTTCATTGTTTTAATTTCCTAATAGTTTAGTGTTTGTTTTAGGAAAGTTTTCATTGTTTTAAATTTTTAAATAGTTTTGTGTTTGTTTTAGGAAAGTTTCCATTGATTTAATTTCCTATATAGTTTAGGATTTGCCTAGGCCTATAAATACAACCTATTATAATAGTTTATGGATCAATTATCTCTTTTATTAATATCAGAAAACTGAGAGCTTTTCTCAATCTCTTCTTGTGGATTCGAGTGTTTAAAGAATATGTTGCTATTCTTAATTATTTTGCTTGCTTTCATTGATCTGGTGCGTCATATGAGCTATGGCTTTTGGGTTAAAACTGTCCCATGAATTGTGGTATTAGAGCCAGCACTGGGAACTACACGGCAGTGTGGGCCCTTTGTGGCTGTGTGGGCCTCATGCAGTGGCTTGGTCCGCCTTGCAAGGGCGCAAACGACTGGACATGGGAGTCTATTACGGACTCGCAGTCCCACATGCACTGGAACATCTTGGGCTTATAAGTGAGTGGCTTCTCATCCCAATTGATGGGGCTTTTTGGTTGGAAACTGACCCGGAACATTATGCTCAAATAGCGCTCCTAATTTGGGAGTGTTTAGTTCAGGGGTGCAAGTGGTTTACTTTGGTTCAGTAAACCAGAACAAATCCAACACAATGGTTCCCCAAATTTTGAAATTGGGCTGAGCTAGTGGAATTGCCTAAACCAAACTGATCCAAATCGTGCAGTTTTACTAATTAGGCTTGGTTGGAATCTACACACAAGATTTACCATACATATATGTACACGTACATACATACTTGCATATATGTATGTATATGTATATATAAAACACATGGCCAATAGGCAATAACAAAATCAGGCCCAAATCAAAAGGGAAAAGCAAAGAAACAGCACATTACATGCAGCATTTATCATAAACTACCATGAATCAGTATTTATAAATGAATGTTACGGTTTAGTTCGGATTAATTTGGTTTTGGCACTTGAATCATGAACCAAACTGATCCTAATAGTTCTACTACTTTGGAAATGAACTTGATCTGTCGACCAAAACCAAACAAAAGGGTATGGTTTATATTGAATTGACTGTTTAAATGAATCTGGTTGCAGCCATGATTTATAATGCTTTCTTTGACTACACTAACTGGTATAAGTTAATAACCTGCCACTTTATAAAAAATAAAAAAAAAAGTTAATAACCTGCCATCTGATATTCGATTGTGGGAGCCTAGTCATCCTCTGAGAAAGAGTGCGAGTTGGAGTCAGTTCAGGTGTTTGGAATTATGTTATATAAAGGGATCCAGCATTAAATACTGTTTGGAATCTGCAGCTGTGAATGTATTAGAATCTGTTTGTATGATGTTTTTAATAATTGAATTCTAAAAATATTTTTTCCTTATTATTGATAAATGCTTTTTGTAACCTGCTGCAATATTGTAGCATATTTCTGGACGTCTGGAGCAAGAGGGTGGTTCAACTGATCCCACAGTGAGGGGCCAAATTCAAGCAGAATCAATGCAAGTAGGGCTTGCAATGCAACATTTTGGCGCGCTTTTTCTAGAGCTTGGTCGGACAATTTTGACACTGCGCATGGGACAGTCTCCTGTAAGCTGTTGTCCTCTACCAGTACTTTGGGTTGGTTGTGAATGTTTCACTTAAAATTGCTTTGGTGCATTTTGCAGGCTGAATCTTATGTGAATTCTGGACCTGCAGTTTATATATCTCCATCAGGACCTAATCCCATGATGGTTCAGGTAGTTTAATGACTTTAAAAGCTCAATTATCTTTTCATAATGTTCACTTCTTGGTGATGGTTTTCAAATCGAAAACATTTCCTGTGTGCTAAATCATGTTCCACAATATAAATCTTTTGCTAAAATAATATAACCATGTTCAACAATATAAATCTTTTGCTAAAATAATATAGTTGAAGACCAGATTTTTTAGTAGTTTATGATCTGAAGTGATCGTCTAGAACACAATAAGTTTGTATAATGTCTAAAACGAGATGCCTCTAGAATTGAATAAACTCTAGCATGAGGCATTGAACATGATAAATCCCGGGCATGGCACTGCTGTAAACATGAGTAATGGGCGTAGAGAGGGAGGGATCTCATTGTAAAATGAGATTATATGAACAAGTATGTAGCGGAAATGAAGATGCTACGATTGATGATAGGAGTAACTAGAAGGCATTGGATTAGTAACGAACGTGTGAGGGGTAAGCTGGGAGTAGCTCCTATTAGTGATAAAATTAGTGGAAGTATGCTTAGGTGGTAATAATGGTATGGTCATTTACAACGTAGAGCGGAAGATGCACTGGTTAGGACTTAGGAGAGGAAGGGTTGTGTGCCTAGAAGGGAAGTGACAACGAGGACGACCAAAACTTACATGGGATGAAGGAATAAAAAATGATTTCAAAAACTAAATATGGTAGGAGATATGATTTATAAATTATGATATTCACGTGGCCGACCCCATTCATGTGGGGCAAAGGCAAAGATGATGATGATGGATAGAGATGTCCCTGGTTCTTGGCCATGAAAATGAAATGGCAGGAAATCTCTGTTTCTTATTTTTCAGACTGCAGCTGGCTTGTGTTGCGTCTTGAGGTAGGTGAGAGAACTTGCCCCACATGAAGTGGCATGCCATTTTTGTGCGTGTGTCCAAGAGTTAGACACTTCCTGAAGAACTCTTAGGATTTAATTTCTCTTTTCTCATGACATTGCCCTTCTGTAGAGCATGTTCTCAAGAGATTCCATCCTGTGACATTCTTTGTCTGCTTATTGCCATCAATAAAATAATAGCTCTTTGAATTGCTCTCATCTGACTGTTATATTCACGTGTTTCTTGGCAGCCCTTTCCTCTTCAAACCAGCTCCCTTTTTGCTAGTTCTGTTGCTGCTCCTACTCTGAATCCCGGTACTATTGGTCCTATTGGCATTGGAAATGTTCCAAGGCACGTAAACATTCATATACATACTGGTAAGCAGAATGGAAATATATGGGCGTTATGTACTTTATTATGCAACTTGGTGTAATACTGTTTATGATGCTGATCATTGCTTTCACCTATTGTTTCAGCTGTTGGCACCAGGGCAACTAATGGAGAAGGGATGCAGGGAGAACGTGTTAGTGGAACTCGTTCAGATGATCCAGGTCAAACACGAGTGCTGCCTCCGAGAAATATTTTTGCAGCAGCCGTCCCATCTCAGATTTCTGTTTCAAATGCGTTGCAACCTGCTGACTCTGTTTCACAACCAACTGCTGACCCTGTTTCGCTATCCGCTGCTATAGCTGAAGTCAGTTCACGACTTAGAGGCCTTGTTGATAACATGCAGAGTGATACCCAGGTTCTATCAGGTGGCTAGCCATAATACATCTGAAGGCTCTAAGAATAAATTTTTAGTGGTCCATTAAACTACTACTTCATGTTATGCAGACCAATTAGAGTTGTCAACTGCTCAAAATCCATCTGTTGAATCTGGTGCCAGCAATGAAGTTAGCAGTCTCCTGAGAGATCTGGCGGTCAATGGAGCTGGAGCTGGAGCAGATCCATCTTTATTTAGTTGTGTGCCTGAAATGGAAGGTCAGAAGGTATGTATTGTGTGAGTCGGGTATCCAGACACCTTAAGTTTGTATCTCTATTATTGACCAGAAAGTGAAATTTATTATTTTGTAATTGCATACACATTCTGATGTCAGCCAAGTAATAACGAGGGTACAGAAGGTGTTGTGAATACAAACGAAGTACCTTCTAGTAGCTCAGCTGGAGGTTCTCATAGCTGTTCAGGTGGAGAAAATGCATTGAAGTCTGTAAACAATTCAGAATGTGCCACAAGATCTGGTAATGGGAATGATAATCCAGAGGGTGCCTCTGCTGTTCCACTTGGGTTAGGGCTCGGAGGTCTGCAACCTAAGGTGGGCCAATTTCTTTCTCTCTGTATCTTGTCATTATTACTATTACTGTTAATTTTATTATTATTATTATTATTATTAGTTTCTTCTGAAAATATTCTGTTGGAGCCAATGTTAATAATTCTATTGGTGGCAATCTTGTTATTCACATTGGAAGAACTTAACCGTGCCAGAGTGTACTGTTCTAGTTTTTTATAACTATACATAAATTTTTTTTATATGCTTACATTTTTGTAAATGAAATTTGTGAATAGATCTTAAGTAATTTTAAACTATTAAACTAAGGGGTCTTGCATAATTATTTTAATACTTACCTCAAAATGGAGAGCTTATGTTGTGATCAATTGTAAAATGAACTTCTGTTGCAGTTTCTGTCTATCTACCGAAAACAAAGCTTACCACTGGTTGGCATGGTTCGAAGATAGGATGCCAGCCTGAGTTGTATGTAACCTGACCAAATTGGTTGTCATGGGCATGAACTTTTTCAACTGCACACATAATGCCCAATATGTATTGATATGTAACTTTTTAATAAAAAATTGACAAATATGCAATTTTAATGTTTTTTGTGTTAATTTTTAAGGACCATTTAATGCAAATAATGCCCTGTGAATGAAATCATAGTTGTCGTAGGTATGAAAGGCTTTGTAGTTTATGATTTTTACGTGGTGAATGAATAGAGAATTAACACAAGATAAATGAAAGTTTGTGATGTAAAACACAAAAAATCAAATAACACTTGCATGTTAGATCTAAGTTTTTCTTAAAAAAATATTGAAACTCAGACTATTTGAAAGTTTGGAGTGGTTTGATCCAAGATTTAGGTCAAGATCTTATGTTGTTGTTACTTATCAAAAAAAAAAAAGATCTTATGTTGTTGAGGTTTGATTCACTAATTTAGGATTTACAAAGAATTTAGAGGAGAGAGGGGGCTGTCTGTTAATGAAATAAAGAATGGGAAAAGATGGGTAGGATTGAGTCTGCCAGTTTAAAGGGATGACTTGGCCTTTGCAGTTCTAACTTGCGGGTGTCCCACCGAGTCTCAAAGGTGTCCCAGCAATTTCGCTTCGAGCCCCTTATGATTTTCATGTATAGGGGATATGTCGGGTTGTAAAGGATTGACTCTGTCCAAGCCCGGCTTAATCGCGACCAATATTTCGTACTATGCTGGTGGCATTAAAGAAGAGAACAGGCTTTTTCTTTTCTTCTTCTCTTTTCCCCTTGTGTATCTATGGTGGTTATAAAATGTCTATTTATTTGATTAAATTTTAGAGTAAACTGATAGTTTTACTGCCTCGATATGCGCACCAATTTACCTGTTCTCACCTAGAGCATTAGTGACCCGACATTTAAAGCAAAACAAGACACAGGGTCATTTGCTTCATTAAATTGCTGGAAAAGGTGCGTTTCTGCTGAAGTAGATCGTTTTTTCATGAATATGGTTGAAATGTAATAACAATACTCTCACTGTGGAAGCTCTAACTTCATCATCGTACTTGCATATTTGGGGAGTGGAAATTTTGGTCTATTGTCTTGATACTCCTGGCACCACCTTATTTATTTATTTTTTTACCGCTCAATATCTTTGGATATGATGTATTTGCAGCATTCGTTCTGTTTTTATTTATATATTTTTTTATATGTAGCTATGAGTTTACTATTGCCAAATCAACTACTTTCATGTTTGAAAAGTGTGGCCTTTGGTTCCTAATTTGTCCTTGGCATATGAATCAAATGATAGAATGCCTGATTGTCTTTGATAGAATTAGCAATTTTTTTTCCCGCTCAATATTTTGAGTGTGATATATGCCAAACTCATTCTAATTGTTTGTTTTATAACATTAAGAAATCTTACTATAGTAGAATAGTCTTCAGCTGATTTTTTTTTTTTCTTTTTCTTTTTTGATTTTGTGCTTAATTTTGGAATAGAAACATTTCAATGTCTCTCTGTTTGTATATGCATATATGTATACTTTATCTCTTATGGTTTCCCTGCAATCTTGTTTGCTGATGCAATCAGAGGCGAACTAGGCAGGCAAGATCACGAAACAGTAATAGTGATGGTGGGACTTCTAGTGCTTCTCAACATCCGAATCAACAAACTGGAACAAATGGTCAGCAGGTTTTGCAGTCTCTTGCTTCTCTTGCAAATAGGAGGAATGCAAATACTCTGCCATCAGGACAGATGCCACCTGCCCTTGGGCAGACAATGGGGAGTGTACCATTGGGCGGGCAGAGTGCTGGTGGACAAATTGATGCTGCAAATGTCATGTCTCAGGTTATCCAGAGTCCTGCTTTAAATGGTTTACTGGCAGGGGTTTCGCAGCAAACTGGAGTTGGTTCTCCTGATGTTTTGAGGAACATGTTGGAACAGCTTACTCAGAGCCCGGAAATGAGGAACACGGTCAATCAAATTGCTCAACAAGTTGACAGCCAAGATCTTGGAAACATGTTTTCAGGTTTTGGAATGGGCCAAGGTGGTGGCTTTGATCTATCTAGGATGGTTCAACAGATGATGCCCATTGTTTCTCAAGCTCTTAGTGGTGGGTCAGTTGCCTCTCAACCAACAACTATTATGGGACCTGAATCCCAGTACAACGAGAGAAGGCAAATCAGAGATGAGGACAATGATCATAATTCTCAGGTTTGGACCCACAAAGATAAAACAATAAAATAATATAATATAATGTAGCATGAACATACCTTTGCGCACAAACAAGTGCTTAATTCTTATATTCCTAGAACTATTTATTGATCAATGAGCACATAATTAAGAGGAACCAGGAACCATTTTGTGAGTCCACATGTTTATTCATATAATCATGACACTGCAATTCAATCTTTTTTGGGCCTTCTCATCATTATCTCCCTCGTCATGCTCATCATCATCCTTGCCTTGATTCCAACCTAATTCTTTTCTTCCTCTAGTTTTACTACAATTTATTTTTATCACATCTAATTTCTACAAGTGATGTTTTTTCTCCATCCTATCTTAGCGCTTTGCCACGTCTCCTTTTCTCTTCAATCTATATTAACTATTATCTGTCTGTGTGCGTGTTTCTGGTTCTTCCTTTCTTCTGGGCCATTTGTATATGAAATCATGTTGTTGGTTCGTAATGCTTTAATAGCAACTTATACAAAGTAAAATCTATTTTCCTCTTTGGACTATTGGACATCTGTGCATGCACGAGCTTGAGGAGTAGCTTTCCTTCGATGCTCTTATAAAAAGCTATGAGTAAATTATGCATAACCATTAAGGAGGGGGGAACAAAATATTATGCATTTGCCTCCACTCTGGAACCTGATTGAGCTTAAGAGGTTCTATTACCAGTTCATTTGCCAAGGTCCTTCGTTGCCTGGATTCTAATCATTCTTGCGGATATCTTACAAGCATAATTATTTAGCATATTCAGTATATTTTACTTCTTGATGACATTTTTATCAGTATACTTCACTGATCACTATTTAACAACCCATGATCCATGTGTATGGATCTGGTTTCTTTCAGAAAAAACCTGAGATGTTTGGGTTTTAGCTATTGATCTAACCAAAGGAATGCAAGCGTAATCGAATGCTTATAATAATTTTTTGTTTGGGTTGTGTATATGTATTGAAGAACAATATAATACATGATTGTGAAAATTTTCTGAACTTTATAAATCTCTTCTTTACCATACACTCTTTAAAAGCAGGTGAAGTGCTTGTGTTGGACCTATAGTACTTGGACATGGTTATGGGATATGTTTCTGACACTTTTTGTTGAACATGCACCTAAAAAAATAATATCCAATAATTCAGTTTTATTATAGTATTGCTTCACAACTAGTGAAATGCGGGTGTTGAAAACTATGTTGCATAAAAATATTATTTCTGCAAAATATTATTTTACTGTAGAAAATAAAATAAAATATTAAATAGTATGAATATTTGCCAGTTTGGAAATTCGACGTGTACCTGAGTCCATGTATCTAATCCATGTAACGTAGATACAGGCGGTCCTGCAAATGTCCTTATAAGGAGTTGGACATGGTTTGGCACAGGCATTTTCTGGCATAAAAAAAAAAAAAAAAATTGTTTACATTTTCTGTGCTGCTAACCAGAATCTTAGCTCTATCAAAAGGATCATATGGGTGGATTGCTTTTGCAGATGCACAGATTAGCTTCTTCTGGATAAAACCTCCTTGTAAATTTAACACTAATTTTATTAATCATATAATTTAAAATTTTCTTTTGCATTCCATATACTGTAGATTTTAGCACTATCTTGTTCTATTTTCCGTTTGCTCCTTCCTGTTAAAGATTTATGGAACTTTTTCATCTCCATATATATATGTGTGTGTGTGTGTGTGCATATTGTGATATAAATGTTTTTCTGTGAAAGACTTTGATGTGGGTCACATTATGGGAAGAAAATCTTGAAATATTACTTGCTACCTCTTTGAATTTCTCTTCCTAAAGGCTATCTTTTAACGGCCGGTTTATAATTTTCTTGACCTCTCTCCAATTCCATTTCTCTTCATTTTATTTCCACCGAAATACAAATATTAATCAAGCTGCACCACACTTACATCTATACAGTTTGATTTTGTCTTTCAAAAATTGATTTTTTATGTTTCATGAGTGAGAATTACAACCTTCCCTTTTCCTGTTTGGAATGCTTCTTCTCTCTAGATTGACCTCCAACAAGTGGTTCAGAGAATTCAAAACCAGAATCCACCTAGGGAAATTTTTCAAGGTATAGTTGAAAATGCTGTTCAGTTGTTTGATAACGGCACTGGTGCTGAAGATCTTCTAGATGAATTGTGCAGTGAAGGTCTTGCAAGTGTAAGTGTTCTCTGCTCGCGTTTTCTTTTTTTCTTAGTTGGTACTCACACACACATGCCTCCACCGAGGGTTAAACTCCTGACCTTTCTTTGGAAAGTAGGGGTTTGGTACCGCTAGGCCACTGGCTTGTTGGTCTGCTCGCGTTTTCTGTGTGCTCTATGCTATTTTGAACATCACTTTGTGGCTCTAGTTTAGACCAATTGATGATAACTGCATTGTCATGTACTTCTCAAAGATTTCAGTGGACTTGAGCTTTAAAGGTTGCCATGGGGATGGAATTTAAAAGGATTTGTTTTCCCTTCTCTTGCAGGAATATCTGGAGATGCTGCATGATGACGTTCGTAAACGACTTCAGGGTGAAACTGGGTCCGCGGAGAAGTTATAGTTACTGGTGGTGTTGGGAGTGTTTATGATATCATTGTAATATTTATATGGATGATGGAATTGATGGTTGCCATTACTTCTGGGTGACGTGGAATTTATGGTCACTCTTAGTTAGTCCTTGTATAAATCAAATTTGGGTTGGGGCTTTTTTGTGATTTAAGTTACAGCTGATCTACCTGATGTAGATCCATCTTTGTATTTATTTCAGTGAATTTAAATAGTATCAGCAGTTTTTCTTCCAGATGTGCATGATTGGATGTGTTGCGAACCAAAAAATTATTTCTAGTTAGTAATGCGACTTTTATATACTGTAATTGGATTTCCGATGTCGGATCGTCTCTGGGCAGTCCGAAAATAGGAAACAATTCGACAATATATCGATCTGTATCAACTTAATTCTGTAGTTTCGGTATGATCCATGGAAAAATGACTGCATTATATTCTGGTTTTTGGTTGCTCGTTTGGAAAAATGAGATTAGAAAGCAAAACTTTCTCAGAAAATTAAAAGGAGAAAGTTTAATAAATAGATTACGTTTCCTTGTTTTCACTCATGATGTGTTTTCCTTGATGTCTAAATGAGAACATGAGATTTCTTTTACATTATTCTCTCTTTTTTTTGGGGTAAGTACATTGTTATATTTTTGAAAAAAGAAAAACACACATATCTACTATGGGGCTCCAAAGGAAAAGTTATACCAGTTGAACCATCACTTGAAAGAGGAGAGGTTATAGTTAGTATTGTCAGCCTGAATCGGACCGGATCTCCTATTCTCTCGTGATCTTGTGCACTAGTGCTATCATAATGAAATGCGAGGTCAGCCTGAATCGGACCGGATCTCCTATTCTCTCGTGATCTTGTGCACTAGTGCTATCATAATGAAATACCTGTCGCATTAGGCGTCAAAAAATAAAATAAAATGAAATAAATAAATAAATTTCCCTAAAAGTAATACACAAATTGAATGGTTAATTTCTTGAGTTTGGAGGATAAATCAGGTACGATGTTGGCTGTATGTATCTTATATTGTTATACATATCAATCTGTCAGTGGCCTAGTAATATAGTTTCTTACCTTTCAAGACAAATGTGCGCAAGTAACCAATTAAGAAAAAAAATTATAAGGTCAATTCCACCTACACCCTCTTACCTTTGACCGCATCCCACTTACACCCCCTTTAGGTTTTAATATTCCACGCACACCCCCTAACCTTTGACCAGACGTACCAAGTTACCCCCTGTCGTTAAGTAATAGACGGCTAGTGCTGATGTCAGGAGGATAAATGAGTGCAAGGTCAATTCTGCCCGTCACAATGTCTGAAATGACATTTTTAACCTCATAGAGTATTGCAGGGTTACAAAACTACCCTTGTGACAAGAACAACAATAGATCATACGCTTCATATATTCTCTGACTCTCTCACACACATATATTCACTGTACACACACACACAATAACTGAGTCTCTCTCTAATCTGGCATTGATGAGCTTCACCGAGGGTCTCTCTCTAATATTCACTGTACACACACACTCCAACTCGAGGCAATGGTGAATCCAGGAATTGTCAATGGGGGGGTTAATATTAAACAAGGGGGAATTGGGGATCGAAAGATTAAAGAGTTGGAAAATTTTAGAGGAAATAAGAATAGACTTTAGAAGGAGAGAAGGAGTGAGCTCTCTGATTTGTGCGACAATTAGGAATTTAGGAGTTCTCTGTGCTTTGACTTAGTGATTGTTTAGGGCTTGTTTGGCTTGGACCTATTTGGCTGGGCCTTTGTTTTAAAATTGTGGCTTAGATATTGGGCTTGTTTGGATGGGTTAAAATGGAGGGGGGCTAATACTACTACTATTTTTTATTTTTTTTAAATATTGGGCTAAATATAACTATACTGTAATAAATATGTGTGTGTGTATATATATAATACAATACTTATTTAGAGAAATATAAGGAAAACTTTTAGAGAGACAGAGAGATAGAGCGAAAAGAGATAGAGAAAGAGAATGAAAATCTTGTATTTTTTTATATCCAACAATAGTATACATACATGGCCTTATATAGGCTTACATTGAAGCTTCCCTGGTACGCCACAGATACAATCTTCCATTGTAAGCTTTAAACCTTGATGTCATGGATGACATGATTCATTGTGGACCCCACTCAATTATATATACATAACACTCCCCCTTGGGGTCTACAATGCTACACTAAGAATATGCCTCGTTAAAACATTGTTAAGGAAAACCCAGTGGGACAAAACCCTAGCGAAGGAAAAAGAGTACAGTATTCTTATGAATCTGAAAATGGTATTGCATAGATTAAAATTGTCTCATTAAAACCTTGCCAAGAAAACCCAGTGAAGGAAAAAGAGTACAGTATGCCAATACCTCTTCAATCAATTGCTCCTCCTCATTAGATCAACCCTGAAGATCATTTAGTTGACGCATTCCAATGTTGTGCACCAGTTTCTTGAATGTTGTAGTTGGAAGCGTTTTAGTGAATAGATCTTCTAGATTTTCACATGAACGTATCTACTGAATATCAATATCACCCTTTTTCTGCAGTTCATGTGCATAAATTTTTTTTGGTGAGATGTGCTTGGTCCTGTCTCTTTTTTATGGATCACAGCATTTGACTCAATTGTCCTAATGGTTGTATAGTATAACCTAGAAGAGAAAACATGGAGTTTTTCTAATATCAGCTTCTTGCCTGAGGTAACGGAAGTAATGTAGAGATATTCCACATATCTTTCATTTGTGGTCTCAATATGATACCCATTACGATGCACGTCTTTAAAACTTACCAGATTTCTCCGAGATCTTGTAGAATATAAGGCATCATTGATTTGTAATCTTGTTCCATGTGGTAAAATGAGGTTGGCTCGTCTGAGCCTTCAATCAAGTTGGTGGGACCTGATCTTGTACTAACACTAGTGTCTGTTAGAGTTAGGTGAGAAAAATATTTTTGATCTCGAAAGATTGTATGTGTTGTTCCACTATCTGCAAGACATATATCTTCTCAATTTATTTTGGAACTAGTCAGATCCATTCCTATTCATGCAAATTTCTTTATCAGAAAAAAAATTTTATAACAAAAGAAACTTTAATACAAACTAGAAAATAAAAACTTTAATACAAGGAAAACATAGTAGACAGAATATGAAAAGAAAATAGGATTAATTGGTGTGGACATTTCCATCACCAATCAGGAAGTCTATCCTTTCATCACGGTTCTCAAAAAAATCTGATACATCCAGGTTTGTGATGTTAACTGGCTCATCATGATTAATGAAATTCATTTCCAGATTTGTGGTGTCAACTGGCTCATCATGATCAAGGAAATTCATTTCCTTTTGTTTCTCTTTTTCTTTCATTGAGGCTTGGTAAAGTTCAGCCAGATGCTTAGGTGTACGACAAATACTTTGCCAATGCCCTGTCATGCCACACCGATAACAAGTATTATTATGTGCTTTGGGAGGTTGAGCCACATCTTTCCCTTTTACTTGTCTCATTTTGTGATACCCCTTGGATCCGAGACACGGGTTGATCAGGCTTAGGCCCAAACCCGACGGAATATCAAACAATTAAAGTATTTTAAAGCGAACACATAATAGAAATTTAAGAATTTAAATAAAGAAACCAAAAGAATTATAAAATCCTCCAAACTGAAAATATTAATAATCTAATCCTTCCAAAACCTCTAAGGTTATAACTTGGGAATCCAACTAGTGGACCCCGAAATAAAACTCCAACTGAAACTAAATAACTGAAAGTAGCAAAAAAAATCCAAGACTAAAGCGTGAAGTGAAATCCTATGTTGTCGGTGGAACGAATGAGAGTCTCTACTTAGCACGATCAAGCTTGAGACTGGAACCGTCAAATACCTGAAAAGAATAATAAAGGAATGGGTTAGACCCACGAGCAAGTTCTACTATAACTGCAATCCATACAGTGACCCGATACGCAGATACACCGTAAACACCTCACAATATCTATCTAATCCATACATATAAATATATCCACACTAAGGACATTCACTGGTCTATAATGGAGGTCTCAACCTGAATAGAAGGCAACATGCAAAAACGCACCCGAAGGTGGGCATGAGTACTTAGACCTAACAGGGTACACCACAACCTGTTACAACCAGTTACGCATCCACTGCATATACGCACCCTGACCAACGAGTTTGAGACTTAAGCTCATCTCGTGGTATCATAAACATATATATAAAGTCCGTCAAAAACCAGGGTATGTAGTTCAAATATTTATTAAACTGACATACAATAAACCAACTAGTTAGTCACTCAACTTATTCAGTTGATATGACTTAACTACCATCCATTAATCCAGGAAGCCATTCAACTTATTCGTAGTTGATCTGACTTAGTCACAGTTAGGATTCAATATTTTCCAATCCATTCCTTTAATCCATTAGGTTAGGTTTATACGTTTTGAGTTAAACCGTCCCTAGTATGACATCGTCCCATACCATTGCATTCAATCCTCCATATCCATGTAAATTACAACATATATATAATAGTTTAGTAATTTACAGTCCAAAACCACTATCCAAATAATTACAGAAAAGTGCTTAATGTTTCAACAATTTAAATCCAAGAATTAAATCATATGATTGCAGGAATCGATTTAATAATTTAACAACTAACGTTCAGAGCATGCGTAGATCAAATCTAATATATCAATGACTCTATCATGTACTTAAAATAAATCCTATAATCATATTATAGGCCAATAAATTGTTACATTAATTTAAGCAAATCATTTCTTTCCATCCGGCAACAGCGTACTTAGTTGTATACTTGAATTCCGTTTAATCCTTTAGCACAGGGCCACACTATGCTACAAGTCTAGTTTGTTAAATAAAAGACTTCACCGTGCTTTTAAAACAAGTTTTATAAACACATTAAATCCATTTAAATTACTGAAATTTAATTAAGCAATTATTTTGTCTTCCATCCGTTAAAAACATAGAAAAAAATTCATTAACTGTATACTGTTAATCCCGACCACTTAGAATTAAACTTTAATTAATTTAGGGTCCTAATAACATCCTAAAACAACCTCTTAGTCCCTCTGTGAAGACCCAGACCCATTAGTACAGTGTCCGTGCTTAACAGTACCAAACAAGACGTGGAAAAATAAGTTTGGAAGTGAGAATTGAAGAGAGCCTGCTCTAGATTTTAAAGAGCAGGCTCTTTTGAGCCTGGAGCCTGCTTTAGCAG